CCTGCGGACGTACGGGACGCGCGGAGAGGGCCAGGGCGGGGAGTTCACTTCCAAGGGTGTCGTGTTTCTGGGTGGGCTCCGAGACATCTGCGGGGAGCCTGGCGGGGCTTGCTCCAGCCTCGGGGCTGCTCTGGGATGGCCTTCGAGAAGGGCACGGGCTGCGTGTGTAAGAACTTTCTGCCAACTTAAAAACTTTTGGCCAGAATCCTTGGCGCACAGCTGAGCTGTGTACTCCACCAGTGTGTCCCAGACACCGTCCGGCTGCTTTTTCGAGTGGTGCTCACTATAATCACAAATAGTACTATAATCCCCACTTTACATATGGGAAAAATAAGATTGGGGGAAGTCAGTACTGTGTGTTGCATAAAGATAAAACAGCAAGTGAAGATGGTTGAGACTCCAGAGGACATTTGCTTAACTATTCCTCTCTTGGTAAAACGGGCTTTATTCCTACAATATTTAAGCAAATATATACCCCCTTTGTGGGAGGGCACCTTGGATTTATCAGTTCCACCCCAAATAAGACTACAATTGTGAACTTTAGGCACTAGAAAGACTTCAAATGTAAAAATTAATTTTTTCATAATCCCTTTTCCATGCTAACCTTGTGCAAGAGTAGGGTGGGGTGCGGGGAGGGTGCCCCTTTCCCAAATGTGTCTGGATTCTCATTACACCACCTTCTGACAAGTATCTGCAGTCATCAGATTCCAAGGCCTCTGCTTTGGAAACCGGCCCAGTTGTGGCGAGTGGATCTGGGATCAGAAGTGACGCAAGGGGAGTTTCCTGGCCCTTGGTGTAGCCTGGATGAGGGAGGCTTTTAGTTCAGGCAAACTGCTGATTCAGACGTGCCGGGGGGGTGGGGGGCATAAAGGGTCTCGGGAAGAAAATGCTTTCCTGTATGAATGCCAGTCCGTCCTCCATTTCTGTCCTTTTGCACTGTTGAGATTATTCTAAGTGATTCAAGAGTGAGGTGGAGACCCTGTCTTCCTGAAGAGGGAGCATGGTTCACTTAGCAAAGTACTACCCTGTAAGAAAGGCATCTTAAAGTGAGTGGTCCTTCATGTAGAGGTACAAGATCCCAACAATGAATGTAACTGTACTGTATCCCTAAAATGTACCAATAAGCTCAATTAAAGCTGAAAAAAAAAAGTGAGTGGTCCGATTAGGAGGCTGCTGCTGAGGCTGGAGAGTGCGGAAGAGGCAGATAGTGAGGGCAAGGTGATGTGGCCACAGCCTGGAGGCTCTTCAGGATGGGCGGGGGTATGCCTGATGGTGTCCACACTGGCTGTTGCCTACAGATGTGTTCTCTTGTTCTGCTCTTAATGATCTACTTTATCACTGCAGCCTTCGGTCTTTGTCTTAACACCTAGTAGACTGCAGACAACTTGAGAATAGGGAGCACTGGCTCTGCTACTTCCTGCTTATCTATGGTGTGTTCTGTGTGATCCAGCTGAGGACTCTGATCTTAGTAGGACAGCGATAAACTCCAGAGGGATTGCATTCCCACCCTCTCGCAATGAGGTTTGCATTCTGTAGTGTACAACTATGTATGCAAAAATAACCTTTTTTAATTTCTGAGGGTCATTGTGTAGTTTTTAATTTGAGAAATTATCGAATGACTGTCAGCCATATCTTTCAAGCTACTACAGACTTCACTCATATAAGATGTGACCTTCATATTTCCAGACTGAAAAGCTCCACGTTATTTAGACTTGTAGTGTGCATTTGTGTGTGTGCAACTGTGTGTGTGTGTGTGTGTGACTGTGTGTGTGACTGAGGGTAGAACCCAAGGCCTCATGCATGCTAATCAAGCCCTTGACCACTGAGTGGCACCCCCAGCCCTCCTTGTATACTTTTTTAAATGTAGTGTGTGGTGAAATCAGATCACTAGGGAAAGAGACAGGTTGGCTGCTTCAAGACTTTTACGGTGTCACAAACCTTAACCAAACTGGTTCCTAATCTACCATCAATATTATGAAGTTAAACTCCAGAAAGTTCAATTTTCCCAGTGCTCCAAATCTGATCAGCTTCTACAGAAGCTGATTCATCCTGGTACACACCCAAAACTATTCACCAGACTTCATTGTTGATTATTCACTAAAAGTATAACTGTCAGGCAGTTTTGATGTTTGTGTAAGCTGCTCTAGCTACATTCTCAGTGTAATCAAACCACAGGGGCTAGGTAACATCAGGGATTCTCATCCCAACAGGCACCAGACACTTGACTCTGCCAGTGGGGTGCCCCTCCGCTGGGCACGGTGTCTTCCCACAGGTCCATCGCTCAGCCCTTGGGACTCACAAGTTTCCTGGTTTAGAAGTCGTCTGGTTTCCCCAAAGTCACTCAGCAAACAGTGGGGTGGGGTGGCCAATCTCAATGGATCCTTCAACTCCAAGGGCATTTTTATTTCTAAATTCACTGGAGACAGAGCTTCCCAGTGGTTTTATAGGTTTCATCCTTATATGGCAGCTCTTCATTCTAGGAAGTATATTATTAGAAAGAAGTAGTATACGCTTTGAGAATTAGCTAGCTGTGGTGGTACATGCTTGTAGGCCCAACACTCTGGGAGGCTGGGAGGATGAGGCAGGAGGATTGTGAGCTCTAGCCCAGCCCAGAGAATTTAAAGGCTTAGTGAGACCTCATTTCTAAGTAAAAAGAGCCAGGGAGGTAGCTCAGTGTAGAGCTACTCCTGGGTTCAATCTCCAATACCAATAAAAGAAGAAAAGAGAGGGGCCATGGATTTAGTTCAGTGGCTCTGCCACGAGCCTCACAAGCTCAAGGACCCAAGTTCGATCCCCGGTACCACCCCTCCCCCAAAAAAAGAAGAAGAAATGAGAGAGAGAGAAGGAGAGAGAGAATTTGACAAACAGAAAACCCCCTAGGTCAGGGCATAATTGCCCCTGTTTGAATCCTGAATGCAGCACTTACTGTGTTATTTAATCTCTGCCTCGGTTTCCTTATCATGTATTTCCCACGTTGCTGTGAGGAACAGTGGCTGGAATACGGTAGCTGCTACATACATGAGGGGTTACAGGAGTTGCTTTTCTCTGGAGAGGCGTTCGCAGTCTCCTGATGTGATAAACAGGACTGCAGATGATATTCTGTTCTTTGAAATGTTGACTTGCTACAGAGGCAGGGTGTTTCCTTAACTATGGGTCAGCGTTTGAGGGACTCTGGGTATACAACAGCACTTTAGCAAGTGTTTCAGAAAACTGAGCAGTCTCTTGGGTCGTTTTCCTTGCTTACCACTGCCTGCCTAAAATCATCTTGACTATAGTATTTTTTCTTAAATGCATTTGTATCACTGTGTGTGCTTAGAATTTTGCAGCTCTGTTATCTTGCAGTTTAAATCTCCCTGCAGCTTCTCTTTATGTGGTGTTTCAGGCCCAGGTGAACTCAGCCAGGGTTGGAGGTGTAGCTCAGTGGCAGAGTTCTTGCCCAACAAGCCCCTGGGTTTGATCCCCCGTGCCACAAAAAATAAACAACCAACCAGACAAATAAATAAATCAAGGTCATTGCTCTCGGGGAACAGGAGCACTTGCTTTTGTTGCTCTCCCTGTACTTATCTTTGTCTTCTGATCATTCTGGAAAGTAGCAAAGATCTCAGTCTTTCCTTAGACAAATGTCTGTTCTGGAATACAGAACATAAAAAGTTTTTCATTACTTCTCTTGGCATTACTTTTACATGGTCACTTATTATCCTTTGTTTTGGTTGGATTTCAAACTATCAAACATTAACTATTTAAGTGGCAAAAGAAAAGAGCTTAGCAGCAGCAGTCATGAAACAAATACTCAAAGACTGCTGAACATAGTGGTGCATTCCTAAAATCCCAACACTCAGGAGGCTCAGGCAGGAAGATCCTTGCGAGTTCAAGACCAGCCCAGACTACATCGTGAGTTCAAGACCTGAACTACATGGTAAGACTCCATCTCAAAAAAATAGGCACTTGTTGCAAAAAAAAAATTTTTTTTAACTCAGAGATTTATTTTCCTTAACATTTTAAGATTTTTATGTATTTAAGCTTTGTCTTTCTATTTCATGGAGTTGTAGTTGCTCCTATATGTTATATTTCATAATCTTTTGAAAATTTGGTTTTATAATGTGACCAGAGAATGTATTAATAGTGCTATTATGCAGCTTCTTTGTAGTACTGCACAACAGGAATTTGCCTAATGTGGTAAAATATGAAATAAAGGTAGTGAAAGTGTGAGGAAATTTTAGTGCAAATCTTGAAACTCTGTCCACACAGACAACCGATGTCATGTTACAATTTCTGTAGGGAAAATCGTGGAAATCTCTTGAGTGAACTAGGTGAGGTCTGAACTCCAAATACCAAGTCAGAGCGAGGCATGGTTGATATCCTGTTGCTGTGAGTTTGGGCAAGAACCCTGGTTGTGGCTGGCAGTGAATAATAGGTACCTTTTAAGGGGTTGAGGGAAAGGGATCCTTCCAGATCTGAGCAAATCCCCAGCAGTTTTCTGCGTTGGTGCTGTACTGCTTTGAAACTGCTTTTTAGAGTGCTACCTCTTCCTGCTAATCTGGCACACGTGGCATGATTTTTTGTTTTTCTTCAGTATTGGGGACTGGACCCAGGGCCCTTGTTTGCACTGAGCTACATCCCCTTTCCTTATTTTGATTCTGAAATAGAGTCATGCTGAGTCGCTAAGTTGCCCGTGCTGGGTTCAGATTTGCTGTCCTCCTGCCTCAGCCTCCCAGAGGTCTGGGATTAGGCATGTGTCACCATGCCAGATCTCTTTCTTTCAAATCACAAAATAGCGTGGATACTGGGAAGACCAGAAATTTGATATGTGGAAAAGCATTCAGGAGTGGAGGACATCCCGTATGTGTGCTGTGAAAAACTACGATTTTGGTTTAATTCTCAAAGTATATGCTAAGCTATCAAGAGTCACTCTGCAGTCACTAAGCTCTGTTAAGACTGGTCAAAGTCTCTTCATCCATGATGGTATACTGGTGTTGGAAAAGCGCACATTTGCAGAAGTGTATTTCTGTGGTCAGGAAATAGGTAGGGCCACTGGGAGCTCGGTGTGTGCGTACTCCGCTTGTCTTGAGAGCGAGCCAAGGTAGGCAGCAAAAAGAGGAAGGCAAAGATGCGGTGCTTGAGATGAGAAATGCCAGAGTGTTGGAGAAAGACTCAAAGCTAAAAGTTATGTTTTGTGTTGGGCGTGATGGCACACATCTGTAATTCCAGCATTTGGGAGGCTGAGGCAGAAGGATTGCTGCGAGTTCGAGGCCAGCCTGGACTATCGAGTGAGTTCGAGGCCAGCCTGAACTATGCAGCGAGACCCTCTCTAAAAAAAAAAAAAAAAAAAAGTTTTGCGGGCAAAACTGAAAGGGAAGAACTGGTGGGGCTTCCTCTTCTTCCTTTTTTCTTTCATGGTTCCTGTTTATGACCCCCTGCCCTGCCTCAGCTCTTTATGGCTTCTTTTTAGCTTCAGTGAGGCTTCTTGATCCCCCAACCGAGCTCTCTGGAGATGAAGGTGGAAGGAAGGGTGTCAGGAAAGCTGGGGAAGGGCTCAAGCTATGGCAACAGGGCTTAGAAATAACTGGAAACAATATGAGAAGTTTCTATGGAAACTAGGCACAGTTGCCAAATAATGGCTGTTGCCCTCATTAGTAATTAGACAGTTTTTTTGTGCTTTTGATTTTTTGGTTTTGTACCAGGGATTGAACTCAGGACCTTGTGGCTTGTGAGGCAGGTGCTGGAACCACTGAGCTAAAACTCCGGGGCCCAGCAGTTAGTCAGTTTTCGTTACAAGGAGCTTATAGACAAAATTTTGCTTCCACTTAAGCTTTCTCCAGAAAAGTCTTCCATTCTGGCCTTAATTTTCCTGAGAAGTAAATTGCCTTAGCCCTACCCAGAATGCTTCTCTAAGGGTCATAGTGAGGATTCGTTTCTAGGCTTGAGCAAGTCCCAGCCTCTCAAATGGCCCCTCTGGGCCAACATGCATGATGATCTGTTATTAAGCTTGTACTTCTAGTGCTTATGTGGTAATCTTTGCATTAAAAAATAAGATGTTGACTCAATATTGAATGCTGCCAGCAGATACCCTATGTAAATATTTAATGGAGTTTCCCAGCCTCCTGACCACTAAAAACTCTGTGTGTATAAAGCTCAGTGTGTATTCCATCCCAGACTTCTTTTCCATATCTGCCTCACTGCTTGAATGATACCGTATTCCTCCACTGTCTTAGCATAGAACCAGAGACTCAGTCTAGCCTCCTCCTACCTCTTTGATTAATGACCCAAATGCAATGCTTTGCTTTGTTTTGCTTTTTTTCTCAGTACCAGGGATCTAACTGAGGACCTTGCTTCTGCCAGGCAGGCACGGCACCACTGAGCTACATCTCTGGCCCATGCTTTTCTTTACCTCGAACAGATGTGCAGTGGTTTCTCAGGTAGAGAAAAAGATGCACTATATACTGTTTGCTTTCTCCATTTCTTATCTTCTGTCTTTCTCCCTCTCCCCCACTTTTTCTCTCCCTTCCTCAGTCTTCTTTCTTTTCGCAGTTACTGAGGACCTGTTATGTGCCAGGCACTAAACTAAATGTGGCAGGAACTCTGGCTTCAAGTGTTCACGGCCTCTGGGAGCAGGGCAGACATGTAAGTTACAGTACAGCAGGACAGGGGATGAAGATGCGCCAGGTACATCGAGCTTGTGGAGGAACAGCTGCTGCTTCCTAATTCCTAAAGGGCTGTTTTGTGATTGCTAGGTGGTTAGTGACAGAGAAAGTCTCAGGCAGGAGAAATAGCACATGCAAAACAGAGGTGTTAGTTCAGCTCCTGGCAAGTGGAGAGCTGCACGGAACGGTTTCTGGATGACAAAGTGGATGGCATAGTGGTGACAGAGTGGTACAGGTACATAGAAACCATGAGGTGGAGACCCGAAGGGTCAACTGACTAAAAGGCACTATTTTAACATGAAACGGAGGACACTGAAGATTTTTAGTAGGCGTACTAGCAAAACTAGTCTGCATTTTAGAAGAGTTACCCTGGCAGAAAATGAAGAGTGGGTTAAAAGTCAGAAAAACTAGAAAAAGGGCCTGAAGGGCAGCTTGTGATCCTAATCTAGCACAGACTTGGCAGAGTGAAGAGGCAGAGGCTGGGGAGAGAGATTGAGGAGGTTGTGGTTGAACACGGGTTGAGGTGGAGAGGGAGAGCAAAACAGATGAGGTTTCCAGGTGAAGCATGATGGGTAAAAGAGAATATGGGAGATGGTTGAGAAGGAATATGGGTGGTGTTTTGGATATTTTTAATTTCTGGCACTTACAGAAATCTTCCAAATTATGTTATCAAGTGTGCTATCCGGGGTCTGCACCATAGAGATCGACTCATGGGAAGAGTGAGGGGAAAGGCAGGCAAGAGAGGAGGGTACTACTGTGAGTGAGTGATTTCCCAGGTCTACGAAAGGAAAGAATTTTAAGAATACAATTCTCCCACTACCAGCCTCATGTCTGTGGGATCTACAGCCCAGGATTAAATCAATTGTGGATCCCAAATACTCAAACCAAGTAACTGCAACTGTACCATACATGTAAGATTTTTGTCTTGTTCTATTCCCTAAAAATACAGTCTGACCGCTGTAGCACTTGCACTTATTAGGGTAAAATAAGCAATGTAGAGATAATTCAAAGCAGTGATCTCCCACCGTTTTAACACTAAGGACTGGATTCATGGAAGACATTTTTTTCGCAGATGGGATGGGGTGGCAAGGGGAAGTGGCTTTGGGGTGATTTATGCACATTACATTCAGTGCGCATTTTATTTCTCCCATTATTAAGTTGTAATGTATGATGAAATAGTTATACGGCTCACCTCATGCAGAATCATTGAACAGCTCTGCCCCTGTGTGTTGGCTGGCAACGTAAGTGCACATAACATATCTCCAAGCATATCCTCCTGAAAAATATATTGCACAGAAAAAGAACATTGTTGCCTTGTTGTCAGCATTGCTAGACTCTTTAACCTGGATTGTATACCAGTGGGATCCCTGAGCTTGTTTGCGTGCAACTAAACAGTTCCATCTGGAGGTGACAAGAGACATTAACTCCTAAAGTGTGTTGTTTATGTCCCATCTACTTCGTAATTGCCTTTTGGTTCCTGTCCCTGCAGAAAACCGTGCTTCACAAAGAAAGGATGTTGCAAATGGAAGCGGGTTTTTCTGCGCTTTTGTAGCAATCTCAGGATATTCCACCTTGACTTTAATCCAGAACGTATTGTCCCAAACATACTTTTAATGCCATTATCATATGTGATCTCAGTTGATCTTCTAGCATGGCTAAGCTGATTCACCTGGCTTATTCACAAATGGGTCATGGATCCATTTCTTCCCTGTTCAGAGGTCTTTTGTGGTTGGGAAGTAATGTTCAAACTCTTTTGAAAAGTGAGACAAGTGAGCATGCACCAGCTGAGTAAAAGAAGGCCCTGGATCATTCTCTTTCAAAATCTCTGCTGAAGTTGAAAATTCCAGTGTTCATTCGTTGTCCCCATAATTCCAGTTTGGGTTTGAGTTGCATCCACTTTCTCTGCTGACTTGAATACAAATGCCATCCTCCTCTGAAGGGACAAGTTGAGGTTATCGAACAGGTTGGATATGTCACATGAGTAAACAAGTTTTGTGATCCATTTAGTGTCACTAATCATGCTGCCAGTGGTGACTGTTTTCTAAAAGAAATTTCTGCAGAGGCTCTCAGAGCTCAGAAACTCTGGCCAGTGATCTACCATTACAAAGTGTTATGCACTTCTGTGTATAAGAGAAGACGTGTGCACTGTGTCCGCCCGCACAGAGCCATGTGGACATATGTGAGTTAAGGGCATGTTCTTTAATGTGGTTGATAGTTTTAATCACACTCTGCAAAAGGTTAAGTTCAGGTGCCATTTCTCAGTGAGCCGACACTTCATCGATGACACAGTACACAGGCTCAGAGTCAGAAGAGACTTCTTTCATCTGAGAGGTGAATGGTAATCCATGCATTCATGGCAGCGGCTGTGCCTGTGCCTGTATAGACACAAAATGAGCAACTCATTTTCAGGTGTGTAATCATTCAAAGACTTGAAAGGTTCCACAGCAGTGTGTTATCTGGTAACAAAAATGCACGTAACATACCCTCACGCTCAGGCTCCTGAAAAATATATGACACAAAAATAAGCATTGTTGCCTTGTCAGTATTAGTAAATTCTTCAACCTGGATTTTGTGCCGCGGTGACTCATGAAATCCTCTGTAACGGTTGCTACTCAATACCCTCAACTCTTTCTTTCACTCATCTAGTTACAGTGCAGACTGGAGGAAGAACGTGTGCTGCCCTTTGAACACAGCTTCTCCTAAAAGTTCACTACCAAGTTCCTTAGCCCCGGCAGGATCTCTTCATCCACAGAAGAGGGCTTCTTCACCTTAGACCTGCAGTTAGTGACTAGGACTGATGCTTTCAGTACAGATACATTTGATGAGGTGGTGACCTTCAATAATTGCTTGAGTTCTTTGTGGTCACTTCATTTTCTTTTGAAAAACTCCCAAGGTTTGTCTTTTCATGAGAGTTTCTGGGATGTCATGTGGAAAGCAGGTTTGAAGTTCTTGGCCACGTTGGATCACCAGGTACCACCTGTTACACGAAATCGTTTGGAGAATGTGAGTCATCTGTCGAAATGAACCTGTAATTTAAGTAGGACTCTTGGTATTTTCTCTTAAGTACAGCTTTCTTTTTGTTGACAGACTTAGAGTCTTCTACTGTCTCATTCCTTCTTTTTAAAGAAGCTCTCTGGTGGCATTTGTTTTTCACTTGGTGTGGCAAAGGTTGGCTTCTGTGCTTATCAAAAGTGCAAGAATTTAGTTCAGCCACCACCTGCCTTGCAAGAGCAAGGACCTGAGTTCCATCCCTGGTACCAAGAAAAAAAAATGAGACTGAGACAACCTTGTAGTGCAGAGAATAGGCATGCATGGAAGTGGTAAATAAAATGATGGGCAGACCACACATGGACTAAGATAAATGTTAGATTATGACTCGAAGGCTGACACTAGATACAGCCATGTTACTGAAGTACACACACTCACTTGCTACTATAAATCCCTTTTTTGTGTTTTAAAAGTTTTAATATTATTAATGTTTTTGCAGTGCATAGTAATTACATTTATCTTGGGGAGTTCGTACATGTACATAACATATCTTAATTGTTTTTACATGCCCTCCCCTATCTCTTTGTTTGCTATCAATCCTGCCAACAGATACAACTTGATTGTCAGTTGCCACTCACTGATAGGTTTTTGGTATAAATCTGCAAGCAGCTGATTTGTTGTGGTGTTGGTGCAGCCAAACCCGTCTGCTATCTCATCTGTATTTGCAGCTACTTCTCAGTGCTAGTATCACTGCCTCAGTGCCACCTCAGATTGTCAGGCTTTAGATTCTTCATACGTTGTGAGCACCATAGATTCCTCCACGTGCACAGCTCACAGTAGAGCCCATGCTTTTATGAGAATCCAATGTCGCTACTGATCTGACAGGAAGTAGAGCTCAAGCAGTAACGGGTGTGCCAGGGAGCAGCTGTACATACAAGTGAAACTTCACTCATTTACCACTTGCCTCCTGGTATGTGGCCCAGTTCACTGAAGACTCCTGACTTAAAGAGATGTGTGCACCTTATGTGCAAATACTGCACTATTTTTTATAAGGTACTTGAGCATCTGTGCATATTTGGTATTATGGGATGTCCTGGAACCAATCCCACAGATGCTATGGGACAACAATAAGTAATCACCACAGCCAAATGCTTTGAGAAGTTCATGTCACATTAAGATCCAAAGATGTCATTGTTGACTCAGGCAGATCAGGTGCTGATGTCAGAGAGGACGTGCACTGTGTGAGTGCACATTGCCCTCCAGAAATCCCAGCTGGGACTGTGGCTGCAGCGTGGAGAACTCTATCACCGGCATTTAGTACAGTGTCTGATACCCTATGATGTAAATGATCAGCATGTTAATTCTGCTGAAGGGGATGGAGGCACTGCAGAGAGAGAGCTTTAGGGGACAGGAGCAGGAAGGCATAAAAGAGGACTAAGTTCCTGGAAGAGGTGAGAGGGGAGGAAAGCAGAGCAGGAGGACTGAGATGCACAAGAATGGAGAGATGGTGTAAGCACAGGGATTGTGAGGGTCTTTCACAGACTGATGGAGACTTGAGGAGACCATAGATGAGAGCTTATAACTTTTCTGTAAAATAGAACACAAATCTCATGCGTGAAGAAGTAGGCAAAATTACCAGGGGTTACAAGAGAAGAAGCCTAAGAATACCTTTGGTCCAACTTCTCAAGGAAATGGAAAGTTAGTGACTAGGGAGGGCTAAGAACCCTGTTGCTGGTTGAATAGAAAGGTGGACACCAGATCCAGCTCTGGCTCTGCCGGGATCCCACCCCTCAAGCTTGAAACTCCTAAACCCACCTCTTTTATGCTGAAATTACTCAGCTGTGTATGACTGGGGTCTTTGTGCTTTGGACTCATCTCCTGCTAAGGTTCTGGTTGTCCCTGTCTTCTAACAAGGACAAACTTTATTCCAATAGAAAAGAAATCTTCAAAAGCTAATGTGTTTTAATTGGTTACATAGAAACAAAAATTCATCAGCAACTCAGGTGAGTGACTTTCTGTCATTATTCCTTTTCTTCCAGGAGTTCACTATGCAACTGCATACTGGATACCTGATACAAAGACAGTAGAAGTCAAAGACGTCCTGGACAAGGATGGGGATGCATATGGCTATTACAATAACTCTATGGAAACCACTGGCTGGGGCATCCTGGAGATTAAAGCTGGGTATGGCTCTCAGGACCTGAGCAATGAGATGATCATGTTTGTGGCTGGCTTTTTGGAGGGTTACCTCACTGCCCTGTAAGTACCCTAGTTGTGGAGCAATTGCCTGGAAACCTCTGTGCTTTTCTTTGCTCACAAGGTACTCTTGTCTTCCTGGCAGTTTGTGTTGGCCAGAAAACTAGCCAAGTTCTTTCCACGTGACAGAAAAATTATGAGGATTACATTTGTGTCCATAATCATATCTGTCTTGGAGGGACAGAGCTCACAGCTCTGCACTCTTCAATGCTCACAGCTCTTGCTTTTTAAAATCTTCCCTTCCAGTGGAACTAATTTGAAAGGGTAGAGAAGTTATTTCATCCTACTAGTCATTTGCTGTTTGGCAGAAAGCAAGTAAGAGATGGAATGATTCTTTGGGGAAGATTAATTAAAAATAAAGGGTAAAAGAATTTCTTTTCAGCCATCTTGAAACAGTACTTCCAAGTGGGCAAAAATATTTTAAATTGAAATGTTAATGAGTCTACTATAAATGTTCCTTCCAGTTCCATTGTTACTCAATTCCAGAGTCATATAAAAATAACAAGTATACAATTAATAATGCAATCAGGATACATGCATTTTAGAGGAAAGATCTTTAAGGGGTAAAAGAGCTGCAACTCGCATAATCAAGCTTCTTTCTTCCTTTGATATGAAAAGTGTTTCTGCGGCTGAGTTAAGCGCAGTTTGATCAAGCCTTATTTGGGGCTATCATCACTTTAGTTGTAGCCAGTGAGGTGTTGATCTTAATCTATTTCTAAAATTATACCCAATGTCGAATGACTAGTTATTGGGCTCTGTCTATTCTTTTTTGTTTTGTTTTTTTGTTTTTGGTACCAGGGATCAAACTCAGGACCTTGTGATTGCAAGGTAAGCGGTGGCACCACTGAGTTAAATCCCAGTCTTATTCTTTTTTATTTAGACTGCAAATTCCTGCCTTTATTCTTATGCTCAGTTTTTGTTACTCTACCATAAAAGTTCCTTTAACAATTCAGAGTTGTAGACTATGTTATAACTGGTGATGAAAAGCATATTTAATGCCACATTATATATGTAAAAGCCTGAACCTCTCATCCTCCCCTCTAAGTCTTTATCTACTTCTGTATCCAGCGAAGTCTTGTTGTGTTGTTTAACTTGTGTTGCAAACTTGGAGAAACAGTTCACATGGAAATTGTGTACATATGTGTAAAATTAGATTAAACTCATCAATGACATGTCACGAGGGAAAAGTGATTTTGAGGGAGCAGCTCTAATCAGTGGGACTTCTTTGACAACCAACATGTTTTCCTTGGATTATTTCCTAATATCACTTCTTGAGAAAGCGCATGGGTTTGAGAGGACTCCTGTCAAAGGTGGCAGTGCTGGGCTCAGTGCACAATGATCTGAGTTCAATACCCAGTACCCCCACCCAAAAAAGGTGGCAGTGCTGACACTGTAAATGTTTAGGGGGAAAAATACCTCTCAACATCTTACAGCAGCCACTGCTGAGAATGGCTTTATCATTTTAACTTCATTTTTCAAGTACAGCATTTATCCTTGAGCAACCATATCCATTTTCAGAAAAAAATCCATAGAAAAAGTTAGCATTTTTATTAGCAACTTTAAAAATTCTACGTTAGGGTAAAATTTAGTTAAACTTTATTCTTCAAAAAAGACAGCTGCTATTCAGTAACAATTTTCATGTTTAATTGCTTTGTATGAAGACTTGGAAAAAAAAAAAAAAGCACTGCTGCCAACTGTGACCCCTGCTGGAGGACCTGAAAGCCTTCTATTTAGGCAAAGGCCAGCAGCCCAATGGTGCATGATGAGGAGGGAGAAAGAGACCTGGCTGCTGATCTCACCCTGACGCTGGATCCTGAAGGGACCGTGGAACCCTCTCAGAGCGTCTTTGCTGCAGAGAGCACCCCATAAGTGCCCCAGAGTTTGAGCAGCCCAGAGTCCAGAGTAGGCAGAGGCTTTATAAAGAAGTGAGTTGCGGGCCTGGGGCTTGATGGATGAGAGTCATTGGCCTGGCTGGGAAGGGTGACAAAGCCATTTAAGGCAGAAGGTTGTTACAGAACAGGGTCTGGGTGCTGTGATCATCCACCTGGGTGACTGATATCTATCTGGACTTTACTGGCCCAGGCGATACCAGTCACAGTACAGTCTCGAGTTATTGTTTATCCCTCAAGCATGCATGTAGGCCTGGTCATTGCATCTTTATCATGAGGCCTGGCCTTCCACGGATGTGCCTCCATTCACAGTTCTGATGTGTTCTCATCTTCTGCACTGTCCCCCTCAAGGTTCTAGCCCCGTCTGACTGCCTATTAATCTGACTTAGTTGCCTATAATTCCTTCTGCTCTCCTTCACCTTGCTTCCCATAGCACTGGTTTTCTCTAAGAGCCACTCCAATGGACAATTTGTCTCTCTCAGTAAGGGGGTTAAAATTAGGGTCACCTCTTTTCATTAGATTTTCACAGCAAGAGTGTGATGGGATGGATACTGTGGGATGAACAACTGAGATACTCAGATAAAAAGATTGGTTTTACCACCTTGGAAGCTATCCTTTGCTCCTTACAACTTCTGAAATACTTAAGACATCAAGGGTAAATGTGAAAAGAAATCTTTTCAAATCCTCTGAAGCATTCCCCTAGAAATAGTCAATCCTTTTTTGCCTCCTTGAATAGTTACAATACTCCGCAGATGACAGCTGGGTCCTGTGTCCAGTCCTCTCTAGTTCACCATGATTCTCAAGGCCAGCGGCCCAGGGCTGCCCCTGCAAATGACCTCATTGTTCCCAGCAGCAGCAATCAGAGCCAGTTGGGGGCCACAGCTAGGAGGAGGCAGTAGGTATTTTCACTCTTTCTCCTGCCCTCGTTGAGCCTTTCTTTCTTTCTCCCTCTTCTACCATTCTCTCCTGAGAATCGCTCACTGCAGGATGTTGCTGTTGCCATAGAAACAAACATCCCCCTCCTATGTGCTTATTTGAGCTGAGCTATGGGCCTTCTTTGTGCCCTCATGTCCCCAGACTAAGTGTGGTTCTATTCCCAAGCCTTTCCTACACCCGCTTTCCTACTTTCTTTCAGAACTTGGATTCCTGAGAGACAGATACTGCCTCCCTTATCTCTACCTGTTGAAAAATGGCTAATCCTCCACGACCCAGCTCAGAGATTGTCTTCTTGATGAAACTTTGGATGATTCCATTCCCACTGAGTTAGAGCTCCACCTCTCCCCTGCGCCATCTCTTAGAGCCTTGAGGGCAGGGTCCCTTAGTCGGGACACCTGGCACAGTGTTGCACCCCCAGCAGTTTCTTAATTACATGTTTATTAGGGTTAAATAAATCCTGTTGTTGCTGCACTTCTGTTGGGGATGAGTCAGAAGGATGAGGAGCATATTTTCATTTAATGGGGTATGGTAGCCGCCATGGCCAACTGAGCTTCTTTCTCTGTTTTTATTGGCTCCCGAAGAGTTGCAAATTCAGTTTCTGATGCCTCGCTGATGAAGTAAACATTGATGAGTAATCATGGGTTGATTTTTAATAAAATGAGGCATGAAAGCTTTCTGGAAAGAAGGGTGATCAGGGTGTGGGGAGAGGATCTGCTCTAGTTTTTAATAAAGCAGCTGATCTCTTGTGTTGCCAAGGCAGCTGCTGAAGCCACCTCCTCAGATTGCTCAGGATGAATGAGTTAATTCAGTGACACAAACACTTGCTTTGCTATTTTGTGCTACACTCTGGAGATAAGGCGAAAGGAAGGGAGCGGAGTTAGTTTCCGAGTACATTCTTCAGAGGGGGCTAAGTTATTTTGTTGGCACAACATTTCTTGAGACTATGATTATTATAAGTTCTAGCAAAACAGAAGCACAAATAGAGAAAGCAACCAAATGTGCTATTTCTTTTGCTTTTGGGCTGTCACCAAGAAATGCCTTAAGAATTTCATTCCAAGTTCAAGCCCAGCTTGGGTAATTTTATATAGAGAGAGGTGAGGGGAAGGAGAGGGAGAGAGTGAGAATGCTGAGAAAAGCTCATTATGAAGGCCCTGGATTCAATCCCCAGGACTCCAACAAACAAACAAACAAACAAACAAAAAACCAAAGAAATCCTCCATCTCAACTTACCTTTTTTGGGGGGTGGTGCTATAAATTCAGGGTTGTTCTTATAGTTAATGAGTCCTCAACCATTTTTTTTTCTTTTTCTGAGAAAAGATCTCACTAAGTTGCCCAGATGAGACTCAGACTTGTGATCCTACTGCCTCAGCCTCCCTGAGTGCTGGGATCATAGGCATGTGCCACTTCTCCCAGCTTCAACTTATTGTTTGATGTTAGAAACTGAATATCCTTTCAAGTTAAGGCTGTGAGCATGGCAAAGATAATTAATATATAGCCTCACCCTCAAAACTATCTAATGGCCTATTAAGTAGTAATTATCTTGATCTTAATATGAACCACAAATAATAATATAATGATGATGAGGAGGAGGAGGAGAATGATGATGATGACTGCTAGCATTTATGTAGTATTTACAGTCTCTTAGAAACTGCTTAAACAACCTTACATATGTTAAATTATTTAATTCATAATACTATAAAGTATGAGTCATTATTATCATCATATTAGTTACGTGAGAACTTGGGCACAGAAAAAGTAAGCTGAAAGTCACAAATCTAGTAAGTAGGATTCAGGATTGGAAAGCAGGGTGGTTAGCCACAGAGTCTGTCTGCTCATGCGCACATAGGAATGGATTCATTGCTATGGGAAATGCTAGAGCCATGCTATGGTCAGAAAAGAATAGGAGACAGTAAATGACAAGTGCTACATGATATGGTATTAACATAATGCCAAGAGATGAGGAAAAGGGTGGCTGTACAAGTGTTTTCATGAGTTTCAATATGTGAATGAGTGTGATGGATAAAAAAGGTGGGTAATTCTTACGCAACTTAGGAAGGAACTTCCTGACTTTGCACAAGAGCTCAAACTAAATCCGGTATATTCACACAGTATCATTTCTGTTCGTGGAGAAGTTGGGAATCTTGATTTCAGTCATGTAGCCCAGGAGTGGAGCAAGCA